CTCCCAAAATCCCCTCTGCATGTTATGGATGCTGCACCATCAGTAAGATCCAAGACTGCAGAGGAATTGAGTTGAATCAGCACTCCGCTTTGCTCTCTGTCCAAGAACAATCTACATCTCAAATAGGCAGAATGTTGGCAGAGGAGAAGGAAGCCACTACCTTCTCAATGACCTTGGGGATGGATGGACAGGGGGGGAAAGTCCTTGCACTTTGTAATGTAATTGGGATAGGCGTTAAAACAAGGGGGGAAAGCTGACCAGAATTGCAAGGAGTGCTTGGAAGGAAGGGCAGGTCAGGGACACAATGCCTTGGTGCCTAAAGCAGAAAATCCAAATGTCACCTTAGCTTCCCAGCACTAAAGCCAATGAGCCCTTTGAATCTGTCCATTAATTGGCTTGAGATTTTTCTGGGTTTCTCTGGGGGGAAGTAGGAAGAGGAAAAACAAGATCTCCTCTGCCCATTTCTCATCTTCATCTTTATTTCGCTTCTGTTAGCAGTGGTGGAAATACATGACTTCGAAGAAGGTAGGTAGCTAGGTAGATTGATAGGTCACCCTCCCTCCTTCCTTTCTAGCACACAGTAGCCTTTACTAACTGCAGGACGAAATGCAAGAGACTGAGGGAGACATAGTTCTTTCCAAAAGCTTTTTAACGTCAGTTGTTTTTATGTGCCTTCATGTCAGCTATGACTTATGGTGATCCTATCACAGGGTTTTCTTGGCAAGATTCATTCAAATGAGGTTTGCTACTCTCTTCCTCTTAGGCTGAGAGAATGTAACTTGCCCAAAATCACTCAGTGGGCTTCCATGGCTGAGCAGATATTCAAAACCTATACTTACAGAATTATTATTGGGGGTGGAGACACTGTACAATGTTCGCATCCAACTGGAGGCAGTATAAATGGAGTCATGTACAATGGATCATTGTACATGAGGTAGTGTACTAAAGAACATAGAGTAGCATGTAGATTGCCTCTATGCACTAATTTTGCACACTGCACATTCCAACTGCATAGAGGATTGTTACCCATGAGCATTGACCACTGATCAATCAATGTTGCACTACACTGATATTTAGTATGCTGATTATTTATGGAATTATCTGGTCTAAATAACCCCATCAGCAGATAGTTATGCTATGTTGAAGGAATGTAGGATCTTTTTCATTCTTATAGTTTTGCAATTTACATGGTTGTTGGTGGGTTGTTGTTTTTTTCAAATGGCTGGCTCTCCACAAAACTAATGCCTATTCTTTTTGTGAAGCTAAGTTCAAACACACACACACAGAAAACTCAAAGACACAAAGAACTCATCCGGTGCTACTACTTTCACTACAAGGCAACCATGATTACACTTCCAATACTGTGCATTTTACAAGCAAAAATCTAAAAGTGGTAAAATTTTCACAAACAACAAATTAAGATTGCCTTCTTACAAAAGCTTACATCAGGGAGAGAAAAAAGTTGTTCAGTTTACTGCAGAAGGACAAAAGATGTTAGCAACACCACCAGATATATTCAGTAATTAAGATGGGACTCAACCACCAGAATCTCCTGCAAGTGACTTATCGAATTCTCAGATGCTTTGGTGCACCCCTTTTCTTCATTTTGTTGGACATTTTGATGTGATAGTGAGGCTGACAAGACTTGACAAGCCTACTGACATTACCCCTTCCTTTAGGTCCATGTAGGAACCAATGATGCTGCAAGGCATAGCCTTCAGAATATCAGAAGGGATT